TCAAGTCCAAAGTTGTGCGTGATAAATTTTGAGATTAATAACAAGAAAAAGATGGCTGCAAGCTATATAGGTGCCAATCTTTGATTTTGACAACTAAAGGTTGATGGAAGTTGGCAATTCAGTATCGTTATAATATCAGGTAGAAAGACTGTAAACTTCACATTGAAAGGTCAAAGGTCAATGTCAAACACAGCAGTATTACGTTTTGCACCTAAGTCTACCACCTGATGCATCACATTAAATACTGTTGATGTAATCAGTTAGACAGAAAGGAGAAAAGTACAGGATGCCATGATTATCCTTCTTGGATCTCTTGGTTTGGTCAGGAGGCCTAGGGGTCCTCCTATAATATCCTCAAATAGGGGTCTTCATGATCCTATCCTGGCTGAGGGATCCTCCTATTCTACCAATTTAGTAGACATGTGCACTACATGTCTGATTGAAATGTTGGTTGGGTGGGGTTTATATCTGTTATAAGTCTTACTTAAGCCCCATCGGGCAACGCCCAGACATGCTTATATTGCTGCTTAAGGCGATTTAGACCGGGAGATCCGTGAAAATGATAGACAACGTCTAATAACTTTGCTTGTCTGAGTGATCTTTTTTTGTAATCGTTGCTAGATGTATTTTCACACCACCCAAAATAAGTTAATGAATCATAGTGATAGAATCTTCTCGACAAACAAGTGTACATCTCTGCTTTCGTAAATCTGAACAGATATATCCAATTTGACTCAAGAATTGCTATATACTGGGAAAATGTCACCACAGTTCAACTTTCGCCTTTATTCACACTCCATAATAACGGCAATTTTATCATGACATTGAATCAGAGACCACAGCATACCATGTACATGTGTATTAATTACATATGAAGGGCAAAACACAGACTGCAATGAGAAAGACAGAGTGAATAAGATTATAGAGATCAAGGGAGCTAGAATATTTGACTTTGAGAAAGTTTCCCAGTAAACAGTTTATGCAATGCTTATGCAGATGTCATGCAGCAGATATATATGCTCTTAATTTAAGCCTCATATGATTAGGTCTTCGCCACGGATGTGATGTTGCATATTTTGATGAACTTGTAATATAACTGAGATTAAGACTGTGATTATAAACCGTGATTATGTGATTACCAATATAAGCTGCGAAATCGTACAAATATAAATCTGTTGACAGAAGAAATATTAAATCATTGAGTATATTAAAGTTTATAAGTAATATTTGAAAGCATTAATCGTGTTGAAAAACGAAAATTCAACAGGTGTTAATTATGTTGAGTATAAAAATGCTTACAGACAGACTTTATTACAGATGTCCAACACTCTTCCTGTGTTCACGCTTGGCTATTACTTCTTGTGAAATATTTATAATTGCCAAAACATGACATATATCACCTGTTGATAAAGTGACAGTGACTTTTAAGTGACCTTTGGTTGACCTTGACACTTAAAGTTTTTTACCTAGAAGGAAGCTGTACCAGTGGTTTGCTAACCAAGGATATTTAATAATGATTAAATGCAGGTCAAGAGCTGTTCCGTGTGGTCAGAGGCTGTGAAATTAATGCTGTTTTGGTTATTACACAGAAATAAGATCAAAGCAGCGCGTTTCGGAGCTCATGTGCTCAAAGTATGATAAGCTTAACGAGAAGTTTTTGCATTTTATTTAATCAGCATTTAATTTTTAAATGTTGAATTGATAACTTAATTAGCGATTCAAAATGATGACTCCTGCTAAACACTTGATGATATGAGTACATTTTAAAATATATTGCAAATTATCTATAAAAAAAAACTTGAATTAAAGACTCATTAAAATTCAAATTTAAAGCTTGCAGAATTAAACAGGAAGGAAGCAGAGCTTTTATGAATGACATAGGGATTTCCTGTAAGATAGCGTATGACTCGTTATATTGATAACATGTATGACGTCTTGTCCTGACATTTTGTCGTGATGATGAAATATCCTCTGTCACCTTTAACACCAGGAAAAAATCATTTGAGAGAAACCAGTGATTAATAAGGCTATCTTAGGGATCCCCATGCTACTACCATAAACTGTAACTACACAATGGATTCGAACACAGGACATCAGATTGTTATACTGTCTCCCAAACCAACTCTATATACTGAAAACCAGATTCCGGTGGAACAGAGATTCTTAAGATATAAAAGATAGGATCCATTTGGCTGTAAGGGTAGCACTGTATATACTTTTTTGTTAAATCTATAGAAACTCCTTTGCCACTGTAAAATACAAAACAGTAATATAGATTTACTAAGTTTGAAGTCATTTGTAACAGATATTATGATTCCCTGCAATACAGTTATATTTCTTAATGTAATTTACAGAATTGCTTTATGTGTTCAACTTTTTTAATGTAACTCCCAAAGGTCTGATTTCTCTGCCCCCACTTTTAGAAGTAATATTGATATGATACCAGAGCATGACAACTTCATCAACACCATCAGTATCAGTTAGATTGACTTTCTAAACTTCATCCTAACCACGACCAATATTGTTATATGCATGAACATTTCTCGCAATCACATTGGTCGGATCCTATACATGTGACCAGTCCTCAAAATCTCATGTAGACTGGTTATCTGGTGAATATCGATTTCTAAATATAGCCTGTATGGAAATTCCCCGGAACCTGTCGTAGCGCATGCGCAGTTAGACTGGAACGCAATCTGTCAGACGACATTAGAAGATGGCTGCTGGCGAACGTTTCTCCTCCGTTACATCAGAAAATTACCAAAACTATTCGAGGATAAAGATGCTGTTAATGTAAAAAAAAAAAAGGCCATTGAACACGCAGTGCATGTCCTCCATGCTTAAGAAAAAGAATCTAGACGATACCTTCAAAAGCTACAATAATGAACTGTTGTATTCAAACCTGGCTAAATTTTACACGGAGGCTCACTTACAAAAATCAGAACCTTTAGTTTTGTTTTATTTTATTGTTGAAGCATATAACAAAACAGTTATGGGCTTTTGTGCTGGTAAATATGATGTGATATGAACCTGAAAGAGTGATATTAACTGAGGCGAAGCCGAGGGCAATATCACTCTTTCAGGTTCATATCACATCATATTCACCAGCACAAAAGTCCATAATTGTATATTAACGCAATCATCCTTTGAATGACCTGGTGACCATGAGTTATATTCACTAGGGGGTGTTGCAGGACAGGGTTGGCAATAGCTATATGTGGATTGACTTTATAAACGTCATGGTATAACCTTGACCAATGCACCCATCCTTTGAATGACCAGGTGATCATGAGTTATATTCACTAGGGGGGGTTGAAGGACAGGTTTGGCAATAGCTATATGTGGATTGACTTTATAAACGTCATGGTATAACCTTGACCAATGCAACCATCCTTTGAATGACCAGGAGACCATGAGTTATATTCACTAGGGGGTGTTGAAGGACAGGTTTGGCAATAGCTATAGGTGGATTGACTTTCTAAACGTCATGGTATAACCTTGACCAATGCAACCATCCTTTGAATGACCAGGTGACCATGAGTTATATTCACTAGGGGGTGTTGAAGGACAGGTTTGGCAATAGCTATAGGTGGATTGACTTTCTCAACTTCATGGTATAACCTTGACCAATGCAACCATCCTTTGAATGACCAGGAGACCATGCGTTATATATGCCCAGTGTTCATATCAATAATTTGAGCATGCATAGTGTTTGATAAATATTTGTAATATGAGTATTGTCTGTGAATTCACTAGGGGGTATTACAGGACAGTTTTGGCAATAGCTATACAGTGTAGGTGAATTGACTTTCTCAACTTCATGGTGTAACCTTGACCAATGCAACCATCCTTTGAATGACCAGGAGACCATGCCAGAGTTATATTCATTAGGGGGTGTTACAGGACTGGTTTGGCAATAACTATAGGTGGACGGGAGTAGGACAGGACGAGGATTTATGAGCTAAGATGTGTCTACAAACAACACTATACGTAGCCTTGACAGGCCTGATTTCTCAGTAGGTCATGGTGGCTAAATCTGTATGTTTTATGTGCGGTGGAAGGTCAGACCTTATGTGTAGTGGTGCAGAAACTATAGGGGAATTAGAAAAGTAACTGACAGCCTTCATCAGACAGTACTCAGCGACTGTTTATTACAGCTGTCATTATATACAGTGCTTGTCAGATCTAAACTGAACCCTGTGTAATCTGTACACCTGTGTAAACAAGATTGTCATCTAGGGCCAATTGTATTACAGCTTTAATGTTATTGAACCCAATAATGGAATCAGGGAAACCTTTTCATTTCAAACAAAGTCATTCACTGCATGTCAATGTACATATTTGTCGGATCTAAACTGAACCCTGTGTAATCTGTAAACCTGTGTAAACCAGAATGTCACTGTACTAAAGCTTTGATATAAATTGAACCCAATTATGGAATTGGGGAATCCTTTTACTTGATACATATGACTACGTTAATTACTGTTAATTTATGTATTTTAGCACACTTACTTTGAGTGTTATCAAATTTAAAAAATTAGTGCCTGGATGAATTACATTATAATACACTATAATATGTGTCATTGATTTTTTTTTACAAAAACAGTACTTAGCGTAACCATAATTCAGCACTAAATAACATTACTGTGGAAATAGGTTACAATGTTTAGTGTATTATATGATTGTTGATTAGACTTAGTAATTCTGAATAAAAGAAACATTTAAGGGAGATAACTCAAAAAACGAAACAAAATACCCCAAAACATTTGGACACAGTAATTCAAAATAAAACGGAAAAAAAAAACATTTTTAAGAAAGAAAACTCCAAAGGACGTTTTGTTTTAATAAGTATATTGCATTAGGATGCTTTTTCTTTTTTATAAAACAAATTATAGAATTTATTATAACAACATATGTTAAAACATAAAATTTAACATTTGTTTTGTGTCTTTCCAAAACTTGAAAAGTAAAAGTTATGTTTTGCTTTCTTCTCCTTGCAGGTCAAGTCCTTTGTAACAGAGAACAGCAAGAATGTGAAGGACAGTTTACAAGTATACTAATGTAAGGATTGGTTACTTTGTCCTGGTCATAGGAAAGACACAGAACATAGGAATGACCATAGCATTGCAGTCAGGAAGGACATATATCATAGAACTTGAGTAAGAAATTATTTAAATGTGCTGTAAACATATTGTACCTAATTGACCTCGGTCATGTGGTTTGGAAGGATGTGCTACCTAAAACTGACCACAGGAAGGATGTGCTACCTAAAACTGACCACAAGAAGTGATATGCTACGTAAAACTGACCACAGGAAGTGATGTGCTACGTTAAACTGACCACAGGAAGGATGTGCTACCTAAAACTGACCACAGGAAGGATGTACTACCTAAAAATGACCACAGGAAGGATGTGCTACGTTAAACTGACCACAGGAAAGAGGTATACAATGGGTACAAATCACAGCAAGGATGTGTTCAATAAACCATAATATGGAATATGTCCAATACAAGTGCAGAATGTTTTCTTGGAATCTCTATCCAATAATTTGCATATTTAGTTTCGTAAAAATCATGTACATATAGAAGTGCCAGTGAACATTATTCAATTAATCAGGACATTTTCTTGGATTAAATGTTCAACCAGGTTTAAAAAGCCAAATATGTGATTTTGGAAAGACTACAGAATTTCGTTCGAAGTGGAGATACACACATGACGAGCATTTTTTGTGAGATTTCCTCAGCGATTTCACTATAGCTCTAAATGACCTTATAAGGACATGCACATGTATGTGATATTTTTCAATGACAAAGGTTTTCATATTTTAATAATGATGATATTAGTGTGTATATGTATATAGTACCAGGATGAATACAAGTGCAAATTTTTCAATACGTTTGACTTTGAGGCGCTACTAATATGGATTAGTCTGTGAAGTTATGTGATATTTTGTCTGTGAATTTGAGTTGTATGACCATATTTGGGTATGTGCGTGCATGCGTGCGTGTGCGTGATATTTGCACGATTGCAGTGATAGCAGAACCAACTGAATATGAATTTATGAAAGCTGCATTCAAAATTTTTTTAACCGTAATGTTATTGATTTCATGTGACCTAAGGATCTCGGCAAATAATATCAATCAATATTACAGCCAGTGTGATCAATAATCAAGGATTTCAACCAATAAAAATCATTCTTACATCCATGAAGATTTACTGAAACTTGTGTGCACCAATGAACATATTTGTAACATCCATGAAGATTTACTGAAACTTGTGTGCACCAATGAAAATATTTGTTACATCCATTTAGATTTTCTTGACTTAGCAAGATTACAAACACATGCAAGTGGCTGATGGACTCTATTGTTTAATGTTGAGGAAAATGTCTGAGATCCAAGGACTTAATTTTAAGGAGGGCAGATACTTAAATATTTAACATGTAAACAGCTCACCCCATATACTAATAGTTATTTTTGTTTGTACATTACATTTTTTGTACTATTACACCTGTATATTCCTGGGTTGTATTTATTTAATGGGAAATTGATGATTATACAGATTCATGATGTCTATGTTGATAATAGAAGAACTTATCACTGTTTAACACTCCAATATTGTACTGAAAATCATGTCTTGTTTTTATATATGTTTTAATGTCTTTCGTCACTAAACATTACACGTTTGTATTGAACTAGACATATCTAGTTATGTATACCTGTGATCAGCCTTTGCCTAGGATAAGCCCTCCTTCCCACTTCCTTGGAATAAGAATTTTTGATAAAGACCTGGCAAACCTCAAAATGAAGCCTTTTTAGCCATTTATGATGATCTCTTGCGCGCACTACAATTCAGATAGTTTTTATTAACATATTTTGTTTCTCAACATCAATCAATTTTTCAGTTGTGTGGGCTTATTTCGAGGCATGGGCTTATTGCTAGATTTATACGGTATGTTGTTTAATGCAACAGGTTAAAAAATGAAAGTTGGTACAGCTCCAGTGATTTTATGTGTTGTGATCACAGGTAAATCTTGACTTGACTCATTCACCCCTGAAGACACATTTGAACTCCTCCTGACTATGACTTTTATTATTTAAAACACATTTCTTCTAGTTATCAGCATATTTCCAGTGACAAATATTGAACACAGAACATCATCAGGTGGAATGTTTCTTGTTAAATGGAGCTTGGGAAGAATTTATTGTTTGTCTTCAGTACAAATTGTTAAGAAGGTGAATATTATCTAAATTTATTTTTAAAATTATTTTAGCCTGCCATGACACCTTTTTCATTAAGGACCGATAAGTAGTATTTCATTAATTAATATACTTCTGGATCTTTTTCAGAATCTATTGAGTAGGATTTCTGGTGATATCATTTGATTTCCTCAGATAGCCTGTTGTTTCATATCTTCCACATACATTTGCGAAAACCATTATTAATATATACACATATAAATACATCATAAAATGTATATAAACCTCTTTTTGGGAAAGTTTTGCAGTTAAAATGTAATTTAAAATGTCAATCCCATACACGACTAGTGAAGGCTTGATAATCAAATGTTTTCGTCAAATTATGTTTTGCAGTGTATATGGCTGAACAATTCAGTTTTAATATTAGTGAATAACAAGTTAAAATCTTCTTGTTCAGAGTACTCAGTATGAATAACCATGTCTTTATATGCTATATCTGATCTGGGTTTTCAGTAGTTTGTTGAAGGTATAGTCTTGACACTCTAAAATCGTCTTCGACTCATGATATTGACAGGACTTGTCTATTTCACATGTGTTTTTAACCATCCAATTTGCAGGGAAAGATGTCATTTAACTTCCGAAATGGCTGAGTATCAAAGAAAAGCTTTAACCTGTTCACCACTGTAGACCATAATTGACTCATCCAGATCAATGCATAGAAGAGTTTACTAAGGTGACGTAGGGGTGAAAGGGTTAATGATGCCAGTATATATGCCTACAGTGTGAACAATGTGAATCGATCTTGACTCATTCACCCCTGAAATTTCATAATGAACTATTCCAACCTTTGAATTGGAGGAGTTCAAATGTGTCTTCAGGGGTTAATGAGTTAATTCTTTTTAGTGTTTCTCTAGACCTGTCACTAGTTGCTAAATTATTAGCATAATGTTGAAAGAACCCAAGCTGCAAAAAAGTCATTGATGTTCAATAATTGCAGAATTTTGATATTTAAAAAAACTCACTTTCATTTTTTTCATTTTCTAAGACTAATTAGCATACGTACTTACCACAGACTTGAACGTTGAGATTTTTTTCATTTTATGAATGATTTCCTATTCAAATTCAATGTCGTTAAGTCCAATAAAAATGCAACTAATGAGAATTTTGCATAAATACATATTTAACATCTGATATATTGTTCCTAGCTGTTTGTACATCAAACTCTATCCATGACAGTTTCCTTTCAATGTAGATAATATAATAACAAATGACAAAACAATATTATTGGCTTGAACACTATACGTTTTTAAAAGCTAAATGATCACGGAATGAAATGCATTTGCATATTCTGTGGAAAATATCCAGGTTACAATTTAGGAAAAAATGTGCCTTATACTGTATCTTGTAAGTTCAAGAGATACTTCAAGTCATGCATCCGTAGGGATAAAAGTACTAGTACTGATAACCATTGTACACCAAATTCGAATTTTTGAAATAAATATAAGCTCATACAGAATACTAAATAAATATGTAATGCCAATAAAACATGGTAAATGAAAAATCTATATTTTATATAAGATCATCCATTTTGAATTTGCATGAAAAATGTGATGCCTACGACAATATCGTGTTAGCTTCTAATGTAAAACTTACAACACAAGTTATAAATATACTCCATAGAAAATATACTGTATTGTAAGTTATATTGTTATACCTATCTGCTCAATTTTACCATGAAGTGGGGTCCTAATGTGTACCTTTGTAGATTTATAATGTAATACAATGTAGTTAACTTAGCGAACTATTAACTGTCGGTATTATCTCCCCACATATTATGTATTGTTGAATATTCTGAAATACAAAACACCCTGTTAACAAAACTAACAGAATGATACAATGCATGTAGTATAGCTATAATGTATGAGTAACTTAACCCTACAATCTAAAGCCTGATACCACTAATGTTTTATATTACGGCAAATTTGTACACATTCACAGGTACCAGGGCTAACGTTAGCTTAGGCTTATTTACATAAGTGTTGCGATAAGAACCCTCAAAATAAACCACAAATTAGTCTTCACCAGATAATTTATAACCTGGTCAGTAACAGCTCAGAAATAGTAGCAATCTTTATATATATCCATCACAGTTTTAAATAGAAATCTAGGATAAGATTGACTTAATCTGGTTAGTTTATAAAGCTTAATTAATCATTCAGTGTTTGGCCGATTCTTTTGTTATGTCTGGCTATAGCATTAATAAACGGGACAGGGAAGGACTTTCAGGACTCATTCTGGCACATATGTGTGTATACTTTATATACATGTTAGGTAACCTTGTCTACATGTAGATAACCTCGACTCACTTTGGTTAGTTATTTTACTCTCTAATGGATTTGACTTTGTGTTACACGCTTGTTTTCGACTTTTTTAAATGCCAGTATGTACTTTCAAAAGGTGTACAAAAATGAAATAATTTTATTGGGAAAGAGGAAATGTCGAAAAGTTTTACCTAAGTATTTCATAAATCATACTAAATTGTCCTCAGCTTCGGTTGAAGATAATGATTCAATTTTATTGTAACAATCTGTAGTCAGTGTGTTGTCACAAACTCATGTTATCATTTAACTTAACTTTTAACTGTATAGTCATGTAATTATATGTACATGTAAATATATATCTGAAGTATATAAAAAAAATATCATATTTTCATATTCAATATTTGAAATATCAGCCATCTTGTGCAATATTCCCCTATCTTATCTGCCAATGAAATGGTCTGTTATATTTTTCATTTGATATCTATTGACCAATCAAATGGTATGTTATATATATTTTGTCATGTATATATATTGACCAATTAATTGTTACGTTACATTTGCGTTAAATTTATTGTTGATTTATCTTTATATTATGAGACAGATATGTTCATTACACAGGAATGTGGAATTACGAAAGATCACATAGATATACAGGTTTATTTCAATTAAAATCAATTTCACTCTCTCCCAATTGATTCAATTTCTTTTTGGAATCAGATAATCTTATATTGTGAATCAGTTCTTCAGCCACACAAACATATTGACGAAGGAACTGTAAACAAACTCATCGTAGCTTATTAAAATTGTAGCGCATTTTCAGATTTTTACAGATTAGCGAATTAGTCAAAAGTCGAAAAGCGCTAAAATAAAACTTCTGCTAAAGTAGGTACGTTTACAGTATAAGCGATGTGTGGTGAGAAAACGTTTGTAATTCATGACTGTAATACACGCATGAATACAATATTGAACATTTGTTATTATTTAAGAAATATTCCAAATTAGACAGTTGCACTCCGAAATGATTTGATCAATTCTCGATTGTTTTAATCATTGTTTTTAATTTGTAAGCATGAGGGTAAAATCTTTTAATTGAAATGTACAAAATTATAATGATTTTTTGAGAAAATGGAATCTATAGATCTCTTGAGGCGCCTGTCTTAATTTCAACCGTACATTTCTACAGCTGACGTTTATCCGGTTTTAGCAGGTAGTACTTTAACTTTATGTAGTGTCGATTTCGTATGAAACAGCGAGTAGTCCACTCTACAGAAGTGTATTTTTGAAATGATAATAAAAAAGCACCAATTGAAAAAAACATAGATGTATTATGTTAATATTATGAGCAGACTTGCATGTATCTTATTTGAAAGTTAAATCACACTTATTAACAATATTGTAATTTTTTTTCTTTTTTTTTTCTTTTTTAAAATATTTTTTCTTCATTTTTTAAATTTATAATGGGTAAACTGTCAAAATTTGGTTCAAGTGTCAAGTTATATTTATGACACTTTCAGTGAAACAGTGGGTTCAAGCATTGTACATTTTGAGTTGTCCTGATTAAGCTAGTTGCGTCATAAAATAACTATCAGACGAATATCTTTACTGCTAGTTTAATTTTATTCTATCATTATTTCCGCACGATCTTGCATAGGCAGCGATATAAATTAAAGTTTTTAATCCGTTAAGGAAACCTCCTAAAAAAAAAAACATGACTTCCGACTATGGTGTATTTTTGTATATGGCTCAAAGGCAATCCTTGCTAACATACCATTCAGTTAATTTAATGCTATGTAATATTTATTATTAACTCAGATATGAACCATGATAACCAACCCACTATGTAAGCTATGACTAAAAAGTGTAGATTTTTTTTATGTGAAAAAAAAAAAAAATTGTTTCATGATTCATAAATATTGGTACTATTCCGTATACAAGCCACAATACAGAGTTGATATAATAATTCATTGGCAAATGTTTTACAATTTTCTGATGACAATAAATGATAATGTATTGATTATTATGTACAAAAGTTTTATAAAATGCTGGGAGTATTTGCTATCAATTATAAGTAAGAGTAACCAATATGAATCTCCATATCGTTTAGGTAGCAGAGAGTTACGATATAGGGGAGATAACCCCGGATGCAGTGCTAAATGACACTAGTTTTATTTATTTCTCGAGCAATATTGGTGTTGCGCTTTTTATAAGTCAATGTTCTGTAAATGTTCATCTTTGCAAGCCAAGGGTTAAGATCCGGTACGATCTGGTCTACCCGTTAAGAAAGAAAAAAACCCGGATCGAAATCCTTTGCTAGCGAAGATGGTCAATGTTCATCAGTTTCAAGTTGTGTAATCTATTATAAAGTTTTTATTTCTAGAAGAAAACCAGATTTTTCGCTCACTGTACTGCTCGTTGTATGTCGAAATGAGATTGATTGTCTCATTCTAAATTTTTGTTATCTCTGTGAATATGTTCATCACACTATCTACACTGTTTACATATTTACATATTAAAATGACATAACCTGCATCACGTGTTTTAATGCGTTATATTTTCTGACCTCATGTAATATATCAAATGAAAAGGACTTTGTACAAGTTTCAATGGTTAAAAGAAATGACTCAATGGTTCCTCATATTTCTGTGCATTCATTCTTAACCTGATCTACTTTACCTAGGTATTCCTAAGAGGATCCAATGAATTTTTCCGTTTGAATCTGCAACACGTCGCACAACACTGGTCTTTCAAAAATGAGTGCACTGTAAGCAGATATCGTGTGGTTTAGGTAAAAATCAGCAGTGTCAAACTAGCTTTGGGTAATATTTGTTTAATAACGCAAGGAGTGCAAAATATGTGGTTGACATAAATCGCTTTGAAGTGATGCAAAGGGGTTTATCAAGAAATAAGACCAAAGAAGTAAATTTAAATAGTTGTTTTGTCGACAATAAGTTATGCCTTTTTAACTCTGGCCGCCGACAACAGGTTCATGTCAGAAAGCCAAAAACATGTTAAAGTCAACATGTTCAAAAGCAACATGTTCAAGGATAACTCACTGCAACAATCTAAGATATTAAGTTGTAGGTTTTACCATGCGTATACGAAGTCATCAGTAGATTAAGGGGAAGCAACTCCTTTATTTCTAATAATTTATCCAACATGCTAAAAGGCAAGCCGTTAGGAAAATTCCCTTTTATCATCAAACGGCCGAGCGTCAGTCTGCGTAAAAGATATGGTTGTACTGATTATTATCACCATCACGAGCACAGTCCGTGTACGGTTGTAGAGGTTTCAAGGATATACAATTAAAACGAAGTGTTGCAAAAGGCAGTCATTTCTGTCAGCTTGATAATTTACTGTCAAGTTTGTCAGACACATCAGTGATTAGAAACCATTTTATCAAAAATCAAAAAATTAAATATATCTATTGCTTATATATTTTCATATTGTAACGTGTGAATGGCCAATATTTGAATAAGATATATTTTTCCTATTAACAAATATTACTATTATACTTAATTAAGACAAAGAAGAGTAGAATTCTTGTATTCAATAATACCGCAGATAAAGCCAAATTATCATTGGATAATAATACATATGATATTTGAATATGTTTTACGATTGACCCATACAAATGATTGTCAAGTCATCACTAAGGATGTATATTACGGTCAGTAAGCCTCATGCAGATAACATGCGTGTTTTTTTTTAAGGTTGATGTCAGAAGTTCAAAGGAAACACGTTCACAGGCCTTCGAATCCGCACAAGGATTACCCACTACAACAATTTAATATTCACGTCACACAAAACATACTGAAAGTAAGTTTTAGGCTTTACCATGCGTATACGTAGTCATCAGTAGATCAAAGGGAAGCAACTCCTTTAGTACTAATCATTAACATGTTAAAGATATTTTCGTACTGAGTACTATCACCATCGCGAGCCTTCAAATCTTATTAACCATGACAAATAACATAAACCGTAAAATACATTCAAAGATCATTTGTATCATTAGCCGATGATAATTTAGCTTTCTCTGTGGTTCTAGCAATATTTAAAAAAAGCTTGATATTGAATACGGAAATTATACTCTTTGGTGTTTTAAGTATAACAGTAAAATATCATACACCGTATTCAATACCCTGAGCCGATCAAATCAAGCTATCTAAACTCCTGTATACAGTGTAGGCAAGTCCAGTACAGAATTATTCACCCAATGCAAAGACCCTTACAATAGGGTTTATATTCTAATTAATCTCCAATCCGACTGTTAGGTTATAGATTCATACAGGAAAGAAAGAGCTGATCTAAAATTTATTATTAGTACTTCATTCTAATGGTTTCAATACTGTAACTAGTTTTGATTTTCTTTCAAATGTGTAATATTAAAGAAAACCGTAATATTTACGAAAGTCTTTAAAAGGAACTGGTTTACCCGTTGTCAGTATAATGCGACCAGATGTTTACTGTGCAAGTGCCTTCGGCATGTTCTTTTTTCAGCGAGGAATAAATGTAGTACAAAAGTCAATATATCCACGCTATTGCAAGGAGACAATTATACCACCATACTCTGCCTCCAGCTCACATCCGAACATGCACGCATATTTTACACGTGAAGAAAACCTCCTAAAGGTTGGGGTCAACGCCTATGAAGATTTAACATTTGCGTCGGCCCCCACTTGGAATTTCAAAACAAGATAAATCCAAAAAGGTATGGGTAAAGGAAGCTTAAATCAGGAACAGTTACTTTCAGAATTCATTTGATGATAAATGGGACCTCCTTGACTTACACCTGTGTGGGTGATAAAGGTGCAGTAATACAATTCCTCCTAGAGCATTTAAATGGCACAATTACTATAAAATTATACCACCATACTCTGCCTCCAGCACACATCCGAACATGCACTCATATTTTACACGTGAAGAAAACCCCTTAAATTACCTAAGCTGTTAACAGGACGCTACATCTTAGTAAAATATTATCGTATTTTAATATACAATCAGCTTTAAACATCATTTACTTAATACATATTTCTGTAAGCAATGATCTTCCGGTTTCCAAAACGTTTTTCGTTCGTCTAACGGACTTGGTATATAAGCCTGTTATTAATTACGATTAGATAGTTCTGGATGTTTTTAACCTGTAACTAGTCCAAGTTAATGTAAATCTATCAATGAGTATATTGTGGTATCCAAAATTCTACATTCTACATATGGTTCGGAACATTGTAAACATGGGTTTTCTATAAGCTTATGAAGTTGACGAAATGACAAGATCGTGCTGTAAAATAATACGTTATTATGCTTTCTGAGGTAATTATCTTTTTAAGACTTTCCGAATTCCGAATTTCATATTCCATATTATTATGCAGACATCTTTTTATTATATCCATTTCAACAGATTAAGTATGAAAATTCCAATTGCTGCAATAAGGCTGTACTTATGGACGTAGCAAGGTTTGCCACGTCGTGCTTGGTTATCATTTGACGAAAGAATTGCGCACAGCTGATGTCATAAATTTGGACGCTGCAGCCAGGAGAAGTTTTCGTAAAAATCAACTTTGATATATCTATGGAAATTGTCAGAAAAGAAAATGCACGAGCCTTACAAAAATCAACAAAGCTAATACGAATGCATACACGAACCACTTATTTACAATTGCAAAACGGGATGGAGTTTTGGAAAAATGTGTTGCACGTTAATGGTTAATTCGAACATCACCAACAGGGTAGAGTTGAAGATACTGTACTTCATTCATATAGGTCTGCTAATTTCAACATGCGGGCAAAATGAGAATAAACTTATTCATCATCTATGGTACATTTTATCCAGGGCGAATGAAAACATACTAAAAGTATATGATTATAACGTCTCTCTGTCTGTTAAAAAGGTGATTAAAAAACTTCTTTATTACACACTCTTACAAATAACAGGTCGGTGATCATGATATAAGCTTGCTACATCTCGTCGATGAAGTAAAAGACGCTTACCCTTCTGACACGCTTCGTTTTGCCCTTATGAGTTTGCAACGGTGTCCGGGGAATGGTTTCTTTGTACATATTTTGCCCTTGTCTCATTGCTTCTGATCTTAAATTAAAAAAAAATACCGTTCGGTATTTTCGTTTGATTATTTTTGTTTGATTTTTGTTTGTTTTGCTTCCAAAAAAAGCAAATTATGTCTCGCCTATTCTAATATTGACTTTTATTTGCCTCTATATTCTACCAAATTTATCATTAACATAAAACTTATAAATATATTTATAGATTGATTTCTTACATATCTTTCATTTCATTCAAAGAAGAAGCGATAGGCATTTTCGCAATGGCAGCCACAATTTATACAATTGGAGTCTTGGACCAAGTTTGCACGGTAAAGATCATGTTTGAGAGGACTGCATTCGTGTCTTAGTCTGGTATGAAGAATGCTTAGTTTTTTGTCACCACGTAGGTAATGAGGGGGTACTGTATATGGTATGTTGGGGACTAGAGCTGATTTGAAAGATGAGAAAGACATGGATCTAATATTATAGACTAGAGTATTCCTCAATTTTCATTAAGAAGGCAAGAAAGATAAACTATCCGAAAGTAATTCAAGACCAGTTTCTGTATATAATGATTCATTTCTAGCATATGACGGTAAACCTGTAATTATTCTAGCTACTTCACGTTGAACTTTTCAGAATCGAGCAGAGTACAACCATCCCAAACCTCACATGCATATTCTAAAACTGGTAATATATAAGTTCTAGTACTTCGTCGATATCATTTATATAAATTAAGAAAAACAATGGTCCAAGAATTGAGCCCTGAGGAACTCCAGCACATATCAAACCAGCATCAGAGGAAGAATTGTTTATAAACACTTTCTGTTGTCTGTTGCTGAAGTAGTTTTCGATCCAAGAAAGGAAATTTCCTGAGATACTATATGATTTTAACTTGACTAATAAACTATTATGCCAGACTCTGTCAAAAGCTTTTGAGATGTCACAAAAAACTAAACAAGTATGCTTCTTTTCTTCTAGACCAAGACAAATATTATGATACAATTCGATTAATTGATACACAGCTGAGTGGCCAGGCATAAATCCTGATTGGTACTGATAAAATAGAGAATTTTCAAAAAAATAATTATGCAAGTACTTCAAGACAACCCTTTCAAATGTTTTACCAACCGTAGACAAAAGAGAAATCGGTCTATAGTTAGAAGGAGAATGCCTATCACCCATCTTAAAAAGCGGCATGACTTTAGCAAGTTTACAAATATCAGGATTAATACATGTACAAGTAGATAACGATAAGTTAAAAAGAAGTTCAAGTGGTTTACATACAGTTTTTGCAGTGTACTTCAACATATGGTGGCTGATTTCATCGACGCCTGAGGCTTTGCCAAATTTTAAATTCAACAAGACATCACATATTTCATTATAGTTAATGTTTTCGGTTCTAAAATAGGAATATCAGTATTGTTATCATCTATGTTAGTGATACTGCAAAAATAATTATTCAATAAATTTGATTTGTCCTTATCGTC